TTGCGGAAGCTCTTTTTTCAATCCGCCGAATCCCGAGCGAAAGCTTATGGAGATGGAAGGCTAGTAACTTCAGAAGAAACTCAGCCGTGACGTGCCTCCCCCCAACACCCTAAACCGAAAACAAAGATCCCCTTGTACTTGTAAAGCCCTAACGAATTCCGGGCAGAGCGATGGAGAAGGTAAACGCACTTCGTCTTTAGAGTTGTTTTCTATCTTGGCAATAAGGGAGCCACCACGGAAATACTTTTCCGGGATCGGGTCCCTGGAACTAATGAAGTGACGGGGATTTCGCGGAAGTTCCGTAGAAACTACGGGATGGATTTGGGAATCCTTGGTCAATCACAACGTCGGAAAATAGGTCGATAATCTTTTCGGAGGTTTCGCGGAAGGTCCACGGAAATCTGCAGGCGGAAATTTCTTGAATTCAAATATATCTCTTTCTTTTAACGATTCTTTGATGATGATTTTCCATGCAAAATCTTTTTAAGATTATCATCTAAAAAGATTGAATAATAATTTGAAAATATCTATATTTGAAATATCATCTCGTTTTCATCATAAGATCTATTATGGAGAGCCTCTAATGAGAATATAAGATATAATGAAATAATTAGGATATAGAATCTTTGGAAAATAAAGAAGATATTTATATAATGAATTTTCGATATATAAGGAATTCTAATTTATAATTCTTCATGATTTTATTGATAGATCTTGATTTAATTTTATATGAAGGTTATTCTAAAGATTTTTGCTTTCGGATTATATTTAGATTTTGTTTCAGCTATTTTAAATGATTCGCGTATATTTTGCGAAAGAAGATGCGAGGAGATTATATTTTTTTCGCGAAAGATGAATGATAATTATGCGATTAAAGAATTTCTTTTCTTGCAATCTGATTATAGGGAAATTATTTATATTTCCGGCCGATTTATACAAAACTTTTTATGAAATGCTCTCAATATTTTAGATATTCTTAAAGAGAAAGAAATGAATCAAAATTATAGGTTCGAATCAGAAGAAGGAAATATCGTCATTTAAGAGATCCGAAGAATCTAATTAGATTCCCTGACCCCTAGACTAAGATTATCTCTGCATTTTGGAAAAAATCTCATAATGAATTTACGTATTCAAAGAAGCAAAGAAGAAAGGATTGCAAGGCTTTCGACAATGTTGAGGTATATTAGATTGATTAGGGATCTTCCGAGGCGAAAAGGAAGAAATCTCGTTATCTAAGATTTCCAATCTTCTCATTCGCTCGAGGGAAAACGAATCCGCAAAAGATTCGGCGTCCGCCCCGCTCAATCTCAGATTAATTATCCAAAAATCCGCGAAAGATCGCGTAATCCAAGCAAGTCCCCAACCTTGCAAGCCATGGTCAGGCGCTTCAGCCTTTAATGCCATTAATTCTCAGGATTTTGGAATTGAGGAGATACGTCAATTATATTTTTAAGGGTTCAAGGCTTGAAATATATTTTCCCGAAATTTGGCGATGATATTGGCGAAAGGAATTTGAGATTTCCGGGAAGAGGTCATTCTATCATGAATTTATTATAGATATTCTCTATATGAAGACCCAAAAATATAATTAGGCATCTAAATTGATAATCTATATTGATTCCTATATGAAAATATTCCGCGAAAATTTCTCAAAAGAAGACACGAAAGGATTGCACTTTTTCGCTAGAATTGATCAAATCCCAGAAAACGAATCTTGATCAATCGCCATATTAGGATTTCATGAAGAAGAATATATTTGAATTTTTATATAATTTTCGATAAATATATATCTTGATATATATATGATGCCTTATATCTCTATAATATTTCTTTCATTAAAAATTCAATATTACGAGATATAGTTCGAAATATATTCTGATTTAAATATATTATTTGACGAACATTTAAATAGAAATATTGATTGATAATTTTTATTTATGAAAAGATATCTTAATGATGAAATAGATATTTTTGATTATTTCGTTCGCGCACGATCTAATATTTCCGATTCAATATTTTTTCATATATCTCTTGTATTCTAAATCTCTGAGATATTTGGGAGGTAATACGAGCATTTTTTTTTTTCAATTTTAGTTGCGTAATTCTTATTTCCTAAATATTCTTTTATTTGATTTATCTCTCTGCATATCTAAAAAATTATTCAATAGAGCGTATAGATCTGTAATAGATCGCTAATATCTTTCAGAATTTAAAAGACGATTCTATTTGTTTACGATGATTTATGGGATTTATGGATTATTTCCAACCGCCGTATAGATAACCTAAGGGAGATTAATGAGGCGGAAAGATTGCCCCGGATACGGAAATCCTGCGACTAAAAATCTCATTCTCTCTTTGATTATCTGAGCCATGGATCGATAGAATATATAAGTCCGGAGATCTAAAATCTTTCAGCTTTTCTCTGGAATAATTTTCCGCACGAATTATCTTTCTTTGGCTATCTGCGCGGTTATTCAAGGGAGTGGATAGACCCTTAATGGAGAAGATAAATCTATCAGAATTTATGGAATGGCTGGATCTATCTACGGAGATTTATGCGCTCTCCCGATTCGTGAAAAAGGTAAATGAGAAGGAAAGATCGGGTCGGATAAGGAGGTTGTGCGATCAGAAATCTCCCGAGATTTTGAATCGTTTCTATTTGCGCGGCGGATCGGCGGAATATATCGATTCGGGGGAGATCTAAAATCTTTCAGAATCTAGAAATTGATATTTATTTTCTCATATATTTTTTTCTATTGATTATTCATTGAGATTCATATACGATCATATATCTTAATTTTTTTTATCGGATTTCTAATCATGAATATTTGCAGATAATTATTTCTTGTTATTGGAGGCAACGTAATATTTCTAATTTAATAGATTGGATAAGATTTCAAGATAAAAAGAGTTCTATGATCTTTTCATTAATTAGAAATTATCAAATCGAAATCTCGATAGAATTATTTGATAAATTGAAATATTATATATCTATTATTCATTAAAATATATAAATTCTGAATTCATCATATCGTCATCATTAATTCAAAATTCGAGTTTAAATCGAAAAAATCTATCTGAATTATCTATATTCAATATATCTTAATGGTATTAATCTGAAATTAAATGATCATGAAGATTTCTGAATATAATCTTCAATAGATAAATGAGAAAAAAAGATATAATCTGTTAATAATAGAATATTTCAAAAAAGATAAGATATCTCTTTTCTCTTCTCTATTTTTCGTTAATGGCAATGATAGGAATCACGATTTATATGCATATATTGAATATAGATTTCGAAGAATTGAGGATTATATATCGTAATTTATATATCGAATTTAGAAAATATATATATGCAAAATTAGAAAATCGATTTATTCTTCTTATAAATAAATATAATTGATAATATTATCCTGAAATAAAATAAATAATATACAAAATTATTTCGAAATATTTCGAATTCCTATTTTCTAATTATGATTTCTCTTATATCTCGCCTATCGGAAGATAGAAATAAATGCATGAAATCAAAATTTCTATTATGGAATATATAATGCCTTAGATAGAAAATTCATTTGGGAGATTTTGAAATAGAGAAAATATATATAAGAATGATCATAAGAATGATATAGAATTAATTTTCTAAAATCATAAATATGAGGAGAAAAGAAAGATATATATTCAGAATAAATATCTTCGAGGGAAATTATTAAAAATATGAATATAAGAAAAATATCCGAAGATAAGAAATAGATAAAATCAAAATGAATAGATAGAAATAAATCCAATGAAAATATGATCCGAGAAAAGATGAAACATGAAAATTAAAGGA